GTTCAGATCCTAGGTCTGATATTTACTTATGACACTGTCCCAGTTAATTAGACTATGACTTTCAGTTCTTCATCTGTAAAATTAGATAATTGGACGAGGTCTCTTGCAAGTCTAAGTTTGTGAATCTGTGAGTATAAGAAAAACCTGACAGAAAAAGCAAGGAACTAATACTCAAGCTTATAAACAGTCTACAAAACAAGTTTCCTTTCCTTTTTGATTTGCTTCCATCTTCTCCACAGATCTATATTCAAGACTTAATGTGCTACCCATGAGCTGAAGGCCAACCAAGCAGGGAATTAACTTACACTTCCTATAGAGTCTAATAAATCACCTTTATGATGACCCCTATCTTCCCCGGGGAACTATGTAGATATAGGAATTTCTTCAGGGAAGAGCTAGGATGGTGCGGTAGAGGAAGCAATTAACTGAACTCTCCCAACATTTCCTATTAGACAACTTTAAAATAACTCCTTAAATGAAATTCTGGAGTGGCAGAACCAACAAAAGGTCAGAGAGAAACACTCTTGCAGCCTAAGACAACTTATGAGGTTGGAAAGAGAGCTCTGCAATGCAGGGATGGAGGTTGCCCAAGAGCCCACATGACAGCAACACCTTTGGGAGCCTTTGAGATGGCAATAGCAGTAGGAATAGCTTTAAGAGATCTCAAGCCAGAGATGGTAAGGGGACTACTAGAGAGATGGCAACTAGTTAGAAAGATATTAAAGCAGAGAAATTCAAATTAAAACAATTCTGAGGTGCCACCTCACACCTATCTGAGTGGCTAATATAACAAAAAAAAGGAAGATCTTGCAAGTTGGAGGGGATGTGGGAAAATGGGGACACTATTGCATGGTTGGTGGAGTTGTAAACTGATCCAACCATGCTGGTGAGCAATTTGGAACTATGTCCAAAGGGCTCTAAAACTGTGCATACCCTTTGATCCAGCAATACCACTGCTAGGTCTATATCCCAAAGATATTCAAAAAAGGGAAAAGGACCTATTTATACAAAAATATTTATAGCAGCTCTTTTTGTGGTGACTATGAATTGGAAATCAAAGGGATGCCCATCCACTAGGAAATGGCTTAACAAGTTGTGGTACATGATTCTAATGGAATATTATTGTGCTATAAGAAATGACGAGCAGGATGATATTAGAAAAACCTGGAAACATTTACGTGAACTGATGCATGTTGACGTGAACAGAACAAGGAAAATGTTGTACACAGTAACAGCAATATTATTTGATGAAGAACTGTGAATGACTTCACTATTCTCAGCAATACAATGATCCAAGACATTCCCAAAGGACTAATGAAGAAGCATACTATTCACCTACAGAGAAAGAACTGATATTGCTTGAATACTGACTGAAGCATGCTATTTTTCTCTTTGTCTTTTTTTTCCTTTTATTTGAGTCCTCTTCTTCAAAATGACTAATATGGAAATGTATTACGTATTTTACATCTATAACCTATATCTACTTGCTTTCCATCACAGAGAGGGAGGAGGGGAAGGAGGGATAGAGTTTGGAATTCAAAACTTTAAATAAAAATGTTAAAGAAATTGGAAAGAAGAAAGAGATTACAGGAGACCTCTGGGCAACCACTGGATACAAGACTAGACAGTGTTTGGCAACTGCATTGCTTATACCTACTGGGTTCCAGGGCAGAAAGGAGCACTTTCAGTCATAAGGAAAAAGGATATTGGGGCTTTAAGGAGCAGTATTGCCTTCAGTCACAAGGGGCACTAAGGAGCAGTATTGCTTGTCATCCTAAGGAACAAGGGCCCTTTCTGAGTAAGGATAAGTGTGCAGACACAGAAAGCAGTGACCACACGTTTCCCTGTCTCATACCACCTTGGAAGCATCAAAAGGTTCTAAAACACCCCCCCTTCCTCCACCAAACTACTTCTGCATTCAGGCAAAAAAGGCTGAAACACAGTGTTCCTCCAACTCCCCACATTTGAAACAGAGCCTACCTTTATTATAAATTCAAAGTCAAGAAATAGACTGGAAAATAAGCAAGCAGCAACAACAAAAGAACCTGACTATAAAAAGATGCTGCAGTGACAGGGAAGATCAAGACACAAGATCAAAAGAATTCAATGATGTCAAAACATCTACAAGGTCTCAAAGAAAAAAAATTATAAATTGGGCAGAAACTCAAAAAGAATTCCTGGGAAAGTTAAAAATGATTTTCAAAATCAAATAAGAGAGGTAGAGGAAAATTGTGTAAAGAAATGAGAGCAAGGGAAGAAAATTATAAAAAGACAATTAACAGCTTGGTCAAAGAGACAATAAATATACTGAAGAAAACAACATCTTAAAAACCAGAATTGGCCAAGTAGAAAAAGAGATACAAAAACTCACTAAAGAAATTAATTCCTTAAAAATTAGAATGGAGCAAGAAAATGCTAATAACTGTGTGTGACATCAAGAAACAATAAAACAAAGTCAAAAGAAGGGGAAAAAACAAAAAAAAATGTGAAATCTTTTTGGAAAAAACAACTGCCTGTAAAAATATAATGAGAGATAATTTAAGATTTATTGTACTACCTGAAAGCCATGATAAAAAAAGAGCTTAGATATAATATTTTATGAAATTACCAAGGAAAATTGTCCCACTATCCTAGAAACAGAGGTTAAAATAGACATTGAAAGAATTCATTGATTACCGCATGAAAGAGATCCCCAAATGAAAACCCAGAGGAAAATTCCAGTTCGAATTCCAGAACTCTCAGGTCAAATGGAAAATACATCAAGCAGCCAAAAAACAAACCATTCATTTATTGTTGAGCCACAATCAGGATCACTCAGGATTTAGCAGCTACCATATAAAGGAGCAGAGGGTTTGGAATACGATATTCTGTAAAACAAAGGAGCTAGCATTCAACCAAGAATCAACCAGCAAAACTGAGTATACACTTTGTGGGAGACAGTGGACATAATTTAATGAAGTAGATTACTTTAAAGCATTCTTGATGAAAAGAAAAGGACTGGTACAGCAAGTTGAAATGCTTTAGCCTCTTCTGAAGTTGTACTCAAATTCCTATATAGTAGAACACTTCTGTGTAGATATTCTAAGAATGTTTTTAAGTGAGAGTCTCCAGAACTTACTCCAAGATGAGTTAGGTTAGGGTAATTGAATTCTATTTCTCTATTTCAGGGTTCAAGCAGTGTACTATCCACAAAATGCCTTTTGGAGATCATGCTTGTCTGGGCAAAAAACAAACAAACAAATACATCATTTTCCATTTGTCTTTCAAATTCTTTACATCCTTTTCTCTCCTCCCCTTGCCACCTCCCACTTGTATCTAGTCTTGTAAATTACCTCTAGGTTCTGAGAATCCTCAATTCAGCAACAATAACCACTGAAGTTAATCTTCAATTAATGCCAAATATTTATGCCCTCGTTACATATATGTTACTAATACAATGCACCACCAAAATCTTAGTGTAGTTTTAAGCTATCAAATATGTAAAGTTATCTAAGCCTTTTGAGACATTCTTTAGAAGATTTTGTGACATCTGTAACTGGAGATAGCTGTATTGATACCATGCAAGGAACAAAATAAGGAAACATAAGTCCCTTAAAGTTTTTGTTAGTCTTAGAAATATTCCATATTGATGAGCAGGTCTTTGAAATGATCTTGTTTGATAATAAGATATATTAATTTTATCAATTCTACAAAACAGCCTCACTGAAATCCATGTTATTGAAAAAGAGTTAGGTCTAACTACTCACATTGTAAGAATGAAAATTAATGAAAGACTCATATTACCTAGACAATGTTGTGGAAGATATCAGTCTTTATATATGGATATGGATATGGGCAATTAGTTGGGACCAAAACTGAGGAGGAGGCAGAGCCAAGATGGAGGAGTAAAAGCAGTGACTTGTTTGAACTTTCCCCCAAACACCTCCAAATACCTGTAAAAATGGCTCTAAACAAATTCTAAAGCAGCAGAACCCACAAAAAGATGGAGTGAAACAAATTTCCAGCCCAAGACAACCTGGATGGTTGATTAGAAAGGTATATTACTCTGGGCTGGAAGAGGAATGCAGTTTGGCATGGATGCGCAGACCTCAGCAAACCTGGAGCAGGCCTCAGAGGACTGAATCTCAGGCACCTGTGGTGGTTTCCTGACCTCTCAACCCATGAACGCCAAGGACAACTTAGATGGTTAGTAGGAAAATTCTATGTCTACAGTGAGAGAGAAGAGTGGGGTCCCAGCCCCAGTCCCAGTGCAGCCCCAAGGTGGCAGCTGCCTCCTGAGTTTCTTGCCTACAGACTGAAGGGGAATAGAGTCGCTGATCAGAGGTGGATTGCAGGGATCTCTTTGCTAGTGCAGGATTCTTTTGTTTTGCCCATGCTTGGATCTGGGTCACAGTTCTGGGTGGTGGTCCTGGTGTGAAGAGGAGTGCTGCATGGTGGAACTTGTAGTGGCTGTGGAGAGAGAATCCTCCTCACAGTTCCAAGACAGAAAAGAGTGCTTGTGGTCACTCATAGACCAGAGCACAAGCCAGGAAAGGAGTAAACACCTCGCCCTCTATCATAGCATCTTGGAAGAACTGAAAATTTACAGGTCCCTAGAAATAGCTCTGAAAACAGCTTCACAAAATCCCTGAAGCTTGGGACAGTACATTCTCCACACTGGAAACAGACCTCTACCTTGACAAAGAGTTTATAACTCAAGTAATTGGCTGGGATCATGGATACAAAAAGAGCCAGACCATAGAATCTTACTTTGGTGACAAAGAAGATCAAAACATACAACCAGAAGAAGACAACAAAGTCAAAGTTCCTACATCCAAAGCCCAGGTCCCAAGCCATGGAAGAGCTCAAAAAGGATTTTGAGAAGCAAGTAAAAGAAGTAGAGGAAAAACTGAGAGTGATGCAAGAAAATCATGGAAAACAAGCGAACAGCTTGCTAAAGGAGACCCACAAAAATACTGAAGAAAATAACACGGTTTTCCCCTGGCTGGCCATGTGGAGCCCGCATGATGCCCAGAGTCATGGTGAAGGACGTGAACCAGCAGGAATTCATCCAGGCCCTGGCTGCCTTCCTGAAAAAGTCAGGGAAGCTAAAAGTCCCCGAATGGGTGGACACGGCCACGCTGGCCAAACATAAGAAGCCGGCACCCTACAACGAGAACTGGTTCTACACCTGGGCCGCCTCCACAGCCTATCACCTGTACCTCCGGGGTGGTGCTGGCTTGGGCTCCATGACCAAGATCTACGGCGGGCACCAGTGCAATGGGGTTACGCCCAGTCACTTCAGCAGAGGCTCCAAAAGTGTGGCCCGGAGGGTCTTGCAAGCCCTGGACAGCCTTAAGATGGTGGAGAAGGACCAGGATGGGGGCCAGAAGCTGACACCTCAGGGACAAAGAGACTTGGACAGAATTCACAGACAGGTGGCAGCCGCCACAAGAAACATTAGGATAAACCACACCAGATTCATTAATAAATTGTCTTGTTCATAAAAACAAAGAAACAGAAAATAACACTTTAAAAAATAGCCTAACCCAAATGGCAAAAGAGGTCCAAAAAGTCAATGAGGAGAAGAATGCCCAAAAAGCAAAATTGGCCAAATGGAAAAGGAAGTCGAAAAGCTTACTGAAGAAAATACTTCCTTAAAAATTAGAATAGAGCAATTGGAAGCTAGTGACTTTATGAGAAATCAAGACACTGTAAAACAATTCCAGAAGAATGGAAAATTAGAAGAGAATGTGAAATATCTCTTTGGAAAAACAACTGACCTGGAAAATAGATCCGGGAGAGAGAACTTAAAAATTTTTGGACTATCTGAAAGACATGATCAAAAAAAGAACCTAGATATCATCTTTCAAGAAATTATCAAGGAAAACTGCCCTGATATTTTAGAACCAGAGGGCAAAATAAAAATGGAAAGACTCCACCAATCACCTCCTGAAAGAGATCCCCAAAGGAAAACTCCTAGGAATATCGTAGCTAATAGCTCCCAGGTCAAGAAGAAAATATTACAAGCAGCCAGAAAGAAACAATCCAAGTTTTGTGGAAACACAATCAGGATAACACAGGATTTAGCAGATTCTACATTAAGGAACTGCAGGACTTCAAATATAACATTCTGGAGGGCAAAGGAGATAGAATTACAACCAAGATCACCTACCCAGCAAAACTGAGCATAATCCTTCAGGGGAAAAAATGGGTATTCAGTGAAATAGAGGGCTTTCAAGCATTCTTGATGAAAAGACCAGAGCTAAATAGAAAATTTGACTTTCAGATACAAGACTCAAGAAAAACATGAAGAGGTAAACAGGAAAGAGAAATCATAAGAGACTCATTAAGGTTGAACTATTTACATTCTGCATGAAAAGATGATATTTGTAACTCATGAGTCCTTTGTCAGTATTAGAGTAGTTGGAGGGATAAAAATTATATGTATGTATGTATGTATGTATAGATAGAAAAATAGATAGATAGATAGATAGATAGATAGAGAGATAGATAGATAGATAGATAGATAGATAGATAGATAGATAGATAGATAGATAGATAGA